TGGTGTAGTGATCCAGGTGCTGTTCAGTCATAGCAGAGGTAATTTTGATGGCCTAGTTAAGGGAAGTCTCCTGTCCTGCTGTTCATGAAGTATCTGTTCATATCTTTACCAGCGTCACAGCACCCCAGGTCAAGCGAAGCCTGGAGGTAGATATATGTAGGCCTCATTCATCTGCTACTTTTAGCAGTCTTCCTGCTTGAGCTGCAAGCTCCCAGCTCTGAGTTGTGTGACTGTCTTGCTGCAGCTTCCTCTGCCTGCATAGTCATGGAAATGTTCCCTTGAGCAAACTTGGCTGCTTTCTGGAAAAAAAGAGCTCTAGAGGGTTACCCTAACCTGGTGTCATTCAAATAACATCTCAACAGACAAATCAACTGCCATTTGTAACTTCCAGGCAGCTCGGAGACCCCCAAAAGCAGGTTGCACCTGTATAAAGCCTTCTGTCCATTTTTTTTGCACGAAGACAGTAAACCAGGCTGAAATTATAAATGCAAATAAAAATATGAATGAGAGCAGCTTGGAGCATCTTCCAGTGTCAGTGTTCATGAAGGAGCAGGAGTTATTTATCAGGGTCAGGAATTCTTTATGGTGCTTTGTCAAACTGTATTGAACGTTTCTGTTCATTCCCATCACCCTGGGCATACATGCTGCCTGGCTTCTGCAGGTGGGAGGAAGCTATGGGCTGGGTAAGCGTACACTGCTGTTCATACTCCGTGTGAAATGGCATTTGCCCTTTAGGTATTGCACAGACTGAAGGGTTCTAGATCTGATTGTCTGTGACACATGCACAGTAGTGGCTTGTTTGTGGTGCAATCTGTTTTGAAGACTCTCTGGTTGCTGCTAAATATTTGGCTTTTAAGTAGAAGTCATGTTTTGTCTCTGTCTTCTGCAAGCTGCTGAGCTTGAAGACACTGCATGGCTGTTGCAGAACAGGATTCGCAGTGACAGCTTGGGCCAGTGATTCAGAAAAATTGCTTACATATAAATGAAAACAAGTTCAGATATCTACACTAAGGAATGTAGAGAGAACACATGAGCCTCGCAGCAAAAGCGTATCACAAAATAATTGTACCAATTTATTCTGTAGCTAGAAAAAGATGCATATGCATACTGAAGCATGTAAATAAATACTGTCAGTAGCACATACCACTACCCATAAAGCAGGATTTTTGTAAAATAATTCTGGGCATGATATTTCATTAGAGTTACGGGCAAATTAGAAATTCAAGAGGACAGTACAAGATCAGAAGTTTGGGAGCCAAGACTCAGGATTTGGGCTGGGGAGGAAGGTTTGTATGATCTAGAGCAGTGGTTTTCAGCTTTTTTTTTTTTCCTTTGCAAACATAATGGTTTTTTCCCATGTTTGCAGTTGCAGACCAAATACAGAGTTTTTTAGGTAGTAGGACTCCTCTTCAAAGTTACTTCTGTGGGCCCTTAAAAGCAGCTCTCTGACCACAGTCTGAAAACTACAGATCTATAGAAGAGAAGTTTGAGGAGAGGGAAGGAAAAAATGGATTCTAAGATGGTTTAGGAGAAAAAGACAAAAAGCTGTTCCCTGCATTCTTAGTGGTGTGGGACTAGAATAGTGAGTTTAAACTGTAGCAAGGAAGGATTAGTTCGCATAGCAAAACAGTTTTTAATAACATAATGACACACACCTAGAGAAGCTGCAGAAAGTCTGTATGTTAGAGGGAAGGGTAGACAAGTACTTGGTGGGCAGGAGGAAGGATGACAGTGATGATTTCTGTTAGTTGGATATAACAGTTCAAATAATCATATTTAAAGTGACTAGAGTTGCTTTACTTGTAATCAATACTGCTGAAGAAATACTGTTTTATTCCTGAAAGTTGACTGCATTCCCACAGTGGATTACTTTACTACTTTGTGTGGGAATATATGCTAGGGAATGGGCTTGGCCACATCAAGAACAAAACATTGGGGATGCTCATGGGCTTCTTTGGGAGATGCATGCACTCTGTTTCTCAGGGCCTGTACTCCAAAGTGATAGATGTCAGCAATTAAACGTGCGGTGCAGCAGTGAGATGAAAAAATACTCTTTACACCTCGTGTAAAGAGAGCTTTACTGTCATCTCTTAGCTGTCAGAGTTGCCTTCTTGTTTTTCCCTTGCCTGCCTGTGACATGTTCTTTATTAGGCAATACATATGTAATACAGTGGTACAAGCTGTGAGTTTTAAGAGGTGTTTATGATTTTTATGATTACTTTTATTAGCTGCATTTGCAGGTTACTCTAGGAGCCACCTAGTGGTACACTAATCCTAATAAAATGTGTATAACAACAAAATATCTGTAGTTGTAACCAAGACATGCTCAAGATGTCTGTGCACACACGTATAAACATAATTAACTTTTGTTTTTTCAGCTACAAGAAGAAAGATGCAGATTTGTCTGTGGCTCAGGGTCGCATTAAGGATCTTGAAGTGCTGTTCCACAGAAGTGAAGCAGAACTCAATACTGTCCTCAATGAGAAACGCAGTCTGGAAGCGGAGGTGGCTGATCTGCGTGCCCAGCTTGCTAAGGTATGGCAGTGAATTCTTCCTTGGTTTAGCACAGGAGAGGCTGTGTATTGTAAAACTCGTTATTTTTCTTTGCAGTTAGTATATAGGCTGAACATCATTGATCCAGCTTGCTTTCTGCTGACCCTTTGCCTGCCCCTCTTGGATATAGAACTAAATTGTAAGAAATCCCTGTAAAACAACCGAAGCAACATAGTGTTTTAGAACTTTTGCTAGTCAAAAGCTTTTATTAAAAAATTTCTAGTGTTTCCATATTTGTGAGATATTAGGTTACTAGATGTTGTCCTTTGTAAGGTTCTGCATAATTTTAAACTTATGCTGGACTACCCAGTGGGACTACGCTAGCAAGAAAAAGAAGAACATCTCACATATTGTGCTTGAGAAATTAATAATACTCAGATCCAGTATCGTATTGTATTGAAATAATCCTATGTTTTAAATAACTGACACCCAAACATGAAAGCTTGTTTTAAATATTCATAAGCACACACACTCTATCTTTCTTTTTTTGTTAGATTCTTTTGGAAAATCAGAGGGTTGATATTAGATTTGTTGTTGTGAATAATTGATCCAAAGATGTCAAATGAAGACCATAAAGGGATTATGGATGGACAATAGGGATCCAGACAAAATTAAATCTTTATCTTTAAAATTCTTTACTAGGCTGAAGATGGTCATGCTGTGGCAAAGAAGCAGTTGGAGAAGGAGACACTCATGCGTGTGGACCTGGAGAATCGGTGCCAGAGCTTGCAAGAGGATCTGGATTTTAGGAAGAATGTGTTTGAGGAGGTATTATCAACCTAGTAATCTCATCATAGTCTTGGGTTTATGTAGCTTTTGTTCAAACTGACTATAAGCAATTACTAACTAGTCCCTAACTAACAGGTAGGGAAAATCAGTATTATCCTTGCTATAAACAGGTTGAGTAAAAAAATAGTTAAAGGTTTTGCAAGAGTGACGTGGTACATCAGTGGCAGAGCTGGCACAAGAGCCAACTGACAAGGGTATTGTCCCATGAGCAGGAATGTAGCAGCTGACTGCTGTGGGAAAGGGAGTCTTGTTCCCCCTCTCTGGACCTGGTTACATGGCCCTACTCCTTACTTGCACTAGCTTTTGGCGATTGTTGAACCTGACTATAACCTGTTTTCATTGACAAGAACAGTATGCAACTACCCTGCTTTTTGCAGGGGTAGTTCTCTGCCTGTTTAGGGAGTTGAGTTGGCTCGTAGTGGTTCTAGTGAGGACCAGAGTTTTTATAAAGTAAATAGTGGGAATGCACAGGTGGGGATTGGGAAAGGGAAGCATGACCTTCTCACTGTACCAGATGCAAAGTGCTGTTATGTCTTGCGAAAACCAACTCTGTCCTTTGGTTCTTCTGCAAGCTCATTCAGTTAGTGGCTGCTGAGCAATTGCTTGATGCTTCTGCCCTTCATGTCACCTATGCTAGTTGTGATGTTTGGCTCACCATACACCAAACAATTTCAGCCTGATTAACTAGTAAAATACTTAGGGTTTTTTGGTTGAGTTTAATTTTTGCTAGCTTAGTGGCAGAGTTATGTCTTACCGTGGAATCAGATGAGCGCCCAGGCTGGATTAAGGGATGGGGCAGGGCTGTGTGGCTAAGCACAGGGGCTGGAGCAGGGCAAAGAAACCAGCCAGGTAGATCACCCTGAGTTGTACTGACCATCATCTCACTTCCATGCCCTGGAGTAGTTGGATTGCTGCACGCGACTGCAACAACAGACCCGTGCTTGGTTGTAGGGCCTTAAAATAATTTTGCTTCCTGAGGAGAATTGTGTTGCTACTGACTAAAGGTGAAGCTAAATGAAACAGCAGAAGCTAATCTTAAAGCTTGCTGTGCTGAAGTGGGAGCATTCCTTTAGCCATCCCTGGAGCTCTTTGATCCTTCTATGGACAAGTTCAACACACGAAAGAAAAAAGGAATTGGTTTCCTTTGGGTTAGTGAATTCATTTGGTTTGATGAAGGGTCCAAAGCTCCATTAAAGTTAGAACATCGTGATTGGGAGTATGGCAAGTGAAGCCTGCTTATTCTACTGAGGTTGAATTGCTAGATCAGCTCAGCCCTTCACCTTGTACTTTGTAGCCCCCCATGGTATTTTTGTGGCCTCCAAGGGGTCATTGCCTAAAGTTACAAAGAGACTGCTGCTTGCTAGTTTTCTTGGCATAAAACCTCATCACAGAAGGGAAAACTTCTTCCAAATCACGTCAGGGCGCGTTGCTGTGAGAAGGGCAATGCTTCTAAGAGTCTATTTTTAGATGTAGAGCATTTCTTCAAAACAACTTGTAAACTCGCTCTGAATTTGTGTTAGCCTGCTATGACTCCAGTTTAGGCATGCAAAGTGAGCCTTGCTCCTCCTCATGGCCCTGCTGCTACCTTCAGGCCTCCTCCCAGTACTCAGAACCGCTCCCTTGTTGTTGTCCTACCCTGAAGGGAGAAATTGTTTCTTTCTCATACTGTGCATTCAGGCCTGGCCAGGTCTCTACAGGGCTCAACAGGAGTAAGTGCATGAGTAAGTCTTACCTCACTAGTTTGGTACCAGTGTTCTAAGCAGAGAGAACTTGTACTTCTCTAAAAATACACATTTTTTAGTGCAAACTCTGAGCAGAAAAAATTGTTATGTCTTCAGCATTGCTTGGGTTGCTGCTTTATTACTAATGTATTCAAAATCTAATGAGTAGAGGTCATCCAGTATATAGAAAAAAGAGAGAAGATCTGCATATGCTTAAGAGTGAAATTTGAAGATGTAGTTTTTTTCTATAATAATTTTTTTTTAATGTATGTAGTGGTCACAAAAGGCGTTCATTTTTATCTGACTCCTTGTAGACTGCTATTCTAACATAGGGATATATATTGAGAAGGAAAGGGTTTGTAGTGCAGCGCATGGAATCTCTCTTTGCTATGTAAAAAATGTATGTTTTCTTCCCTCCTTCCCCCATTTTGAGTTTTGTAGCTCCTTACTTAAACTGTATATGGGTATTTTTAAGTCAGTTTTTAAGTTGGATCACTTTTAAGAACTGTGTCCTGCCAAATGAGAACGGTAATTTGCACGTGATAGTACGTGCAGTAATTCTTAGGCTTAAATGCCTTTAGTACTGTAGCTCCTATATATTAAATAATTAGTACTGAAATAGTTAATTGTTGTCTGAATGTAATTGCTTGTACTGTTTACCCTAATGTGGGAATTTGTCCCCATTTTTTGTGTGTGTTTAGGAAATAAGGGAAACAAGAAAACGACATGAACATCGTTTGGTCGAGGTGGACACTAGTCGCCAACAGGAGTATGAATCCAAAATGACTCAGGCCCTGGAGGATCTGCGAAATCAACATGATGAACAAGTCAAACTGTACAAAATGGAGCTTGAGCAGACCTATCAGGCTAAGGTAACTACTGCTATCCACAGCACTGTCTGACAGGAAGTCCAGTCGGTGAGATAAAACCCTTTCCGTCAGCCCTACTGTCTTTAAGGAGATAAGTAATTACAATTTGAAGAAGCTTTGTCCAGTGTTCATATGCCTCCTCTGGTGCTTGTGCACAGATGCATTTCCAGGGAGGGTATAGGAAAAAAAAAGCCAGGAATAGCTTTAGTCAAGAAAGGCCGATGTGTGAGAAAACACGTGGAACTGTTAGTCACTGTGGAGGACGCAGTGGGAATAGTGGATGTCACGCAATAGCTGATCAGATGATGTCTTCTGCTATAAGGTTTTTTTTTCTTCCTCCAAAATGGAGGTGGTGGTGGAGACTTGCAGTAGGTGCAATACATAGGCTCCAAGAAGTTGGAGGGATGGGTCGGAAAGCTTAGGGAATGGCTGCATTTCAATATGGGCTTTTGCCTGGATGCAGCGTGGTTGCAAACTAGTATGGACATACTGGGAAGGGCTCCATGTCTAAGGTTGCATTGTCACCTTACCTTTACTGTGGCCGTTGCTATGTTCTTACGACCCCAATACACTTTTAAATATGTGTAAGCCTTATCACATTTCAATGATCTAAGTTCTGGATTGGAAAATTACTAGATGCAATTGTAGTTTCACTGGTGACAGGGAAACTTCAGGCAAGGTATTGGGCCTTTTTTGACCAGCTTTGGTGATGAAAACCATGCTATATAAATTGGAAATCATAGAATTGTTTGGTTGGAAGGGACCTTTAAAGGTCATCTAGTTCCAGCCCCCCTGCAATGAGCAGGGACGTCTTCAACTACATCAGAGCTCAGAGCCCCATCCAACCTGACCTTGAATGTTTCCAAGAATGGGGTATCTGCAGCCTCTCTGGGCAACCTGTGCCAGTGTTTCACCACCCTCATCATAAACAATTTCTTCCGTACATCTAGTCTGAATCTACTCTCTTTTAGTTTAAAACCATTACCCCTTGTTCTATCGCTACAGGCCCTACTGAAACATCTGTCCCCACCTTTCTTCTAAGTCCCCTTTAAATACTCAAAGGCCACAATAAGGTCTTCCTGGAGCCTTCTCTTCTCCAGGCTGAACAACCCCAAGTCCCCCAGCCTGTCTCCATAGCAGAGGTGCTCCAGCCCTCTGATCATCTCCGTGGCCTCCTCTGGACTCGCTCCAACAGCTCCATGTCCTTCTTGTCCTGAGGACCCCAGAGCTGGATGCAGTACTGCAAAGAGGTCTCACCAGAGCAGAGCAGAGGGGAAGTGTGAACATAGGAGTAATTTAATCCAGGAGAATGCTTCTTAAAATTCCTAATATTATTTTCACTCTTTTGGTTTATCTGCCTGTTGTCGTACATGAGTGCAATGCACCTCACTCAGAGAAGCAACAATATGTTTTATTGAGGTAAAATAATAATTTCATAGAGTTCAGTAAGTTTGAATGAATTTAATAAAGTTTAACAGTACTTTGATGGCAAGGTTCGCCTTATTAATTACTGCATGGAAGGAACGTACAAAGGAAAGTTGAGTTAGAATGATTCACACAGAGACCAGAGACGCAAAGAGTAAGGAGAAGCCTCCCATTGAGTCACGAGGTTCAGGGCGGTCCCCCTTTCTAAACTTCTTTTGGAACCTCAGTGCAGCTAGATCCAATTTTAATACCAGACTTGGTCAACAGTTTATGTCTAATGGAATTATCCATACAATGTTTATAATAATATTGGGTAGCTACATGGATTAGTAATGTTTCATAGTGTGAATTCAGCATGCTATCAGTCACTTATGAAGGATCTGTCTTGGGTAGGGGATCTCTCTGCCTTGGGTTAAGGAGGGACCTCTTAGTCTGACGTAAGGTATCTCAGACCTTGAGAGGCATCCCTGCTCAAGAGGAGAGTCACCTGGCTCACGATCCAGCTGCAGTTCAGGGAGAGCTCTAACCAGGCCCATCCTGATGGCAGTATTTATTGGGTGAAGTAGTTGGCTGCTAGTCAATAATATAGACAAGAGAGATGTCTTCATTTTAGCTCTAGTATCTTGTTCTGTGCTTTGGTTATCTTGCACTTTTGCATTTCGAAACCACCTAACCACCTTTCAAAATATTTTTCAAGACACCTTCACTCCCTTGTATGGGAGCCAGGGGCTGAAGTAGGTAGCCTTTGCTCTTATGACCAACAGGCAGATAGTGTGATCACGTGAACCACAGTTGCTGGAAACTATAAGGGTGCTTATATAATGGAAGGGCTAATAAACTTTTTTTTTTTAATAGCATGAACAAATCCTATAGGAATAGGACTGAAATAGATTTTTCTGGTCCTTAGGGCATTTCCTTGATGTTATGCAATTCTTATCATAAACTTACCAGATTTCCATTTAAAATTATTTAAGATTAAATACCTTCTATTTTTTACCAAAAGGATTTTTGCAGGATATCTTAACTTAATGGAAGTGACTTATATAAAACTTGCCTTCCAGCTGGAGAATGCCAAACTGTCCTCTGACCAAAATGACAAAGCTGCTGGTGCAGCTCGAGAGGAGTTGAAGGAGGCTCACATGAGAATAGAAGCTCTCAGCTACCAGCTTTCTGGCCTTCAGAAACAGGTAAAGGGGCTAAATTTGCTTTCATCTGGAATGCAGAGCACTGTATTGTTTGGGTATATTCACATTTCTGTACCTTCATATTTTCTGAATTTTATGGAGAGAAATCTTATGTTCATTTGGGAGGGAGATGAATTTTCAACTTTTTACTGTATCCACATAGATGCCAACTGAGTTTTCCATTGTGCTGTCTACCTAGGCTAGTGCAGCAGAAGACCGCATTCGTGAATTGGAGGAAATGATGGCTGGTGAGCGGGAAAAGTTTAGGAAGATGCTAGATGCAAAGGAGAGGGAAATGACAGATATGAGGGACCAGATGCAGCAGCAGCTTACGGAGTACCAGGAACTGCTTGATGTTAAATTAGCACTGGACATGGAGATCAGTGCTTACCGAAAACTCCTGGAAGGAGAAGAGGAAAGGTACGTACAGATTCCATATTCTTTTCTTAGGACTAGCAGTTGTTAATTTCATTTCTTATGCTTAGTTTTTTTACTGTTTGAGCCGGAATGCCCAGATTTTGTTCCACTGAAGTCATACGGGCTTCACACCACAATGTGTTGCATGAAACACTCCCGTGGAACACTTGCAATTGTTCTTATCTGAACACCATCTCTATTTTATTTTGCTTTTTGTAATAGTCTCAGAGTACAGTGGAATATATAATTCTGTGCTTGACATTCATCTCCTCTTTTTATTTAAGTGCTAAATACTTGAGTGTTTTCCTGTTTTTAAATTATATGGCCCAAGAATAGTGTGTTTAGTAGTAGATATACTGGAGGGGAGGGTTAAGTGATCTGTGTTGCTCTCATTAGCACTGCTTTCTATGTCACATAATCATACTACCAGAAAATTTCTCAGGGATGGATAGCCCCCCTTCTCTAATATGCACTCTTCCTGACACACACAGTGAGGCTGCTTTTAGCCTTGGGGCATATTACAGTCTGGTTACTGAGTATATAGTAGCATTATTGCTTTGTGTGTAGTTCTCTGGATGAGTTAATTAAAATACTTGCTTCATTATCTTAAGGTTGAAGCTCTCTCCAAGTCCCTCCTCCCGTGTTACAGTCTCTCGGGCTACCTCCAGCAGCAGCAGTAGCAGTACTCCACTTGTTCGCTCTTCCCGAGGCAAGAGAAAACGTATTGAAGCAGAGGAGCTTTCAGGCAGTGGAACAAGTGGAATTGGCACTGGAAGTATTAGCGGCAGCAGCAGTAGCAGTAGCTTCCAAATGTCCCAGCAAGCTTCAGCTACAGGAAGTATCAGCATAGAAGAGATAGACCTGGAGGGCAAATACGTTCAGCTGAAGAACAACTCGGAGAAGGTGAGTGTCAGCAGAACTCCTAGAAAACAAGGAGAAGGAGCTAAATTGAGATGTTACACAGCCTTTTGTAGCACAAGTAGGTGGAGTCACTTGGACAGCAGGAGCGACATCTCAAGGTGCAGCATCCTGCAATAATTAACCAGGGCATTAGAAAGTTGAATGTTCCAGCGTGCTAGCATGAGCGTAGTGTTTGCTGTAGGAACAGACCATAGCTTGTGTCCCAGATGTCTGAATGTGTGCTGGTGCCTTGCTGGTGTAAACAGCCTTGCTGGCTCTGGCAGAACTTTCTTGTGTGAAATGTGTGTCTTAAATTTTGCAGGATTTACACTTTAGACTATTGGTGGATATAGAAAACTGCTTTCAAGTTAGAATGCAGGTGACTAACCACCATGTAAATAATTTATATTTGCATTATTTCAATAACAAAGAAACCTAGAGAAAGCTCTGATGCTGTAAGTTCTGTTTCGTTCACCCTAAATAACCTTATGACTCTCTCCATTAGGATCAGTCTTTGGGTAACTGGAGACTGAAAAGACAAATTGGAGATGGAGAAGAAATTGCTTACAAATTTACTCCTAAGTATGTCCTCAGAGCTGGGCAGACTGTAACAGTAAGTTATACTTAACAGTATGTCAACAACAGATTATTTTATCGATGCTGTGGCAGTTGTAATTCTGATGTTTGGTACAGTCTGATTTGGTATATAACTTTTGGTTTCATGGATCTCACTTTAGAGGAGCAGGATTTCACTTATAAAAATGCAGAACAGAAATTGAATTTCTGTGTTAGCAGTTCAGTATTTAAGACCATTTCGGGCACAGAGAAAGTTGAAGAAGATATTTTGGGGGGTGGATCAACGGCTGTTTGCTTTCAAACACCTTTTCCCAGGTTTGGAACACTAATCCTGCTCAACCTGTTAGTGAAATAAGAACATTTCAGGGTATTCATTCAGTCTAGTAGACTTTATTTAAGTTTAAGACTAGACGTTCTCAGCCTTAACTATAGTAGAACAGCTGCTTTTCTATAATTTTGTATTTTATTTTCAGTCTGCAACAAATGTTCTTTCAGAAGAAAAAAAGGCTTTCTTTTAATCAGTTCCAACTATTTCTACTTAACTATTAATTGCTCAGATACATATAAAAGATTAAATTGATACACTACAAGCTGCATTTTATGCCTTGGCTCCATACAGTATAGTCATTGAGACAGTGGTAGGAGAAATTTGTATGTTCAGAAAAGAATTGATTGCAATAATATTTTTTTTTTAATGGCTAGTGTTACTTTTTGTTGTAGACTGAGAATAGTATCTTACTAGAAGTAATGGTGTAGGTAAAAGCAGGGTAAAACTTCCATTGGAATTCAGAAACAAAATTGGTATGTAGAGATAAGTAGAATTAGGGGGTTTGGTATATTTAAAAATAAACTGTGCATAAATAGCTAATTACAGAATGTCTTTCTCACTAGATTTGGGGTGCAGATGCAGGCATATCTCATAGCCCCCCTTCTGTTCTCGTGTGGAAGAATCAAGGCAGCTGGGGCACCGGAGGAAACATCCGCACATACCTTGTAAACTCTGAAGGAGAGGTAGGCTGTGTCTGTAGGAAAAAGCTGTGGGCTGGGTTATCTCAAAATTCTTTAATTTGGGGGGCGGGGGGACATTGACAACAAAATCCTGATTTTAAGATTTTCCCTTTTGTTTTCTAAAATAAGACAGTTTATAATACTGAAATAATTGAATATCTGTATGTATCTCTGAGATTTTGGGGAAATTTTTTTAAAACTGTGATCATCATCCTGATTGTATCCATAGACTTTTTTTCCTATTTTAGAAAAACTGCTAGGAGAGAATTTGTTTGGAATTTCAGTATGTATTTTCAGAAGAGACAAAATAAGTATTGCTGGTAATTCAAAGTTACATTATATAGTACCTACAATATTCTGGGGTGCAATGTCAATACTAATATAGGAAGATAGCTGTCCTTTCAGTGTTGGAAGTATATCAGAAGATTTCATTTGGCAAAGGTTCCTGTGTATTCTGCATTGTCCTACATCTGCCCACAACGGATTTTTTTTAAAACCATTCCTGCAGAACACTCCTGCAAGGGAAGATTGCGCTTTGGCTGTTATTCGTAAATGTGCCATTATCCCAGCAATCTGATAGAAATAGGAAAGTGAAACAGACCACAGTTGTATCAGTTTTCACGCTGCCTTTCTTGCTGGCAATTCTGTGGAAGCACTTTGTGCAGGAACAGCAGCATAGGACAAGGTAGGAGGGAGGGTCATTTGTACAAACAGAAAGCTAACTCACTTAGTATTCAAATAGAAGTGGTTAAACTAGTATCTAAAAAAAATTTCAAATCCATGTCCATTCCCACTGTGGTTACCTTTAGTATCCCTGCTTAGGAGTGTACGTTTAGGGTGACTTTTCCACAAGTAGAAATTTGCACCTGTGATTTCAAGGGTGCTAGTGTACAGAAGAACTTCTTACTACTAAGAAGCATTACAAATAATTGAGTAATAAAGGCAGCTTCATGGGGTTTTAGAATTCTTTTTAGTGCCTGGTTTGGAAGACCATCCTGATAATTGATATATGCAATTGATATAGTATATTTAGTAGAAATTAGGAATATTCTTAATGCTCTGTAATCATACTGAGAAACTTTAGTTTCTCACATTATGATGTCTCAGACAGCTCCTAGCTGGGTCTGCTGTGAGCTTGTATAAAATTGACTAACAGCCACCTGAAACATGGGTGCTTCCTTTCACATCCCTAGGTAATGAAAGAAAATTCCTGAAGCCAAATTACGTTACCATGCCTTTTAGTGGATAGAAATAGGAATGTTGTTGTGGTTTGCAGGATATTACCAGTATTTGCTTGCATAGCTAACATGCAATCTAGGGCAAGTTGCTTTAAACCCTCCAAAATTTAACACGTGTATTATATTGATGGTATAGCAAAAACTTAGATATAGACTACTGGTCATCTCCTTATCTGTCATTTTGTGTAGGAAGTTGCAGTGAGAAGTGTTACTAAATCAGTAGTGGTGCGAGAGAATGAAGAGGAAGAGGATGAAGCAGAGTTTGGAGAGGAAGACCTTTTCAACCAACAGGTAATAAGATGCAGACCAGATCTTTAATTTGTGCCTCATTGGTTGGATTAATCAGGCATAAGATTTGGGGGGGACGTCTCTTCAACTTTTGCCAGCTCTGAGCTTCCTGGTCCATTTTTCCAATAGGTGCTTGCACAGGACGATCTTGGAATGGCTTGCAACCCTGCAGCATTACCACAATGCACATAGAGAGTATAACATCAGCAACTCCTCCAGGAATTGCTGCTTGAATCAGTAACAGTACAGCTTGAGCAGTGCATAGTGTCAGGTCAGGACATGACAGTGTTGCAGTGACATAGGCTATTTTCAGGGTTAGTACGATTAGTTTTAGCAGTCAGTGTTCCTCCCATTCCAGTATTTGCTTCTCTGTAAAAAAGAGTCTGTGGCATTCTTGCTGTAAGCAAGACTATAACCATTGGGAAATACAAAAACCAGGAAAGATGGAGTGCTTCTGTTGCTGCAAGCTTATTGGTTTATTTTCTGATAGTATATACCTGTTACATCTCAAATACACTTGGGTTGTCTTAATAATACTACCTGTGTGTTTTCACAACCCTTAGTTAAGTACTGTGAAATAATTGACCAGCAGTCAGCAGAGTGAAAAGTAGAAAGATACTTCATACAGGTGATACCAGAAAATATTTTAAATACATTTCAAACTCACGTGATTTGTTCGCCTCGTCAGTGGCAATTAGTAGCTCTTTTCACAAAGAACTCCTTCTGTGCAGGTTTGAAATTCTGAAAGCTTTTCTGGTCTCCAGGAGATTGAGCAGTGCATTTATAGTATGAAGCAACTGAAATAGAAACTTTTTTTTTTTTTTTAACCTAAAGAAGCAGGTGTGCAGCATAGATCTCTGTCAAATGGAAACATCATTTGAAAGCTAATAACATCATGATTTTCATTTGTCATCTGTATCAGTGTTGAAAGTTGGAGATAAACCAATCAACCCATCGTAGAAAACTACAACCAGAGTAGCAGTGTCTTAGTGCTGGCAGTAGAGTGTGATGTCTGCTGTGCTTTCTTTATAGTTGTGATATTCCCTAGGCTTGCAGTATGAAAAGCTATTAAGAATTGAGTTCAACTATGTCTGTCTTATTTTAGGGGGATCCCAGAACAACCTCTAGAGGATGCTCAGTGATGTGAAGAAAGAAAAAAGAAACTATTGTTTGCTATTTTTTTCATTTATTTCCTTTTAATTTTGCTATTTTTTTCCCTCCAGAGCCACTGAAAACTATTTTTATATGCATCTTCTGATTTCTTTGAAGTTTACTCCTTGGTACATTTTTATAAAAAAAAATCAAAAAAAAACTTTACTGAACAAAACTGCCAGAATTTTTAATAGATTTCTTTATTTTTCCCTCTTTGTTGAAACACTATATTGGAATACAACATTTTTCCCCATACAGAGTTTAAAGTCTTATGTACAAACCTGCAGCAGAAAAGAAATTTTTAGCTAAAATGGGATGAGACTCCTTGAGTGTACGGTAAAACTATAATTACATATATAACCAGGATAACTAAAAAAAAAAAAAAAGAAAAAAGTTTAAAAATGCATGTTGATCTGCAGGGCCCCAGAAGAGATTCACAGTAGTGTTTCCTTCGTACTTTACGAAATGGTGGTATCTTGCCTCGTATCCTCAGCAGTGCCCAGCTTAGGAAAATTAGACCCCATGTTTATTAAAAAAGGTACTCCACCTATGGAAGTAGTGAAGGGAAGCTGCATTTTAGATATTCTTGGCTGAGGACCATGGCATCTTGTCCTACTCCAGAGTTTGACAGCCCAGTGGTAAAACCATTGGAGCCTGTCAACACCTTAGCTCCATATCATTATTTTAGAAGATGGAGAATGATGGGTGATTTCTGTTTGTTTGATGCATTTTGTATCTGACAGTGTCCCTTTAGCTGCATTTCTGTGGAGATAACTCTTGACTCCCATAAGGGTTAGTATTCATATAGTAATGCATTTTTAAGCACTAGGAAAAATACTTGACTGCTCCAAAGAATGTATTGGCTAGTGTACAAGCAAATGGGTTTTTTCACTAGTTAATAGTTTGGATACAAAATTTGGATACCATTTGATGCCAGCATAGAATCCTGTTGTTACCTGCACTCTTGAACTCTGATCCTGTCATTCAAATAGTTTAGACTCATCAAATAAGTGACAAGGTTTGGATGTTTTCGGTGGCTTTTGGACATTATGTTCTCTGAACAGTATTGTGACTGACAGATATAACCTAGAAAGTCAGTTTAGTGGCTTTGACTGATGGCTTTGTAATGCAAGCAGGGTGGGAACAAAAGGGGGTTTTTAAGCTTATGGATTTATTTTGCCACTTAAAAATAAATCAAAGATGCTACTTTTCTCTATTTGAATGGGATGACTGAATTACTGAAGTTGAACTAATAGAAATTTAGAATTATGTTTTAATCCGTTATCAGAAGATCCATTACAAAAAAGCAGTATGAAGATTTGGCTGTTTGGGCTAATGGGATAACTTTATTGATGTACTTGGCCGTTTTTCTAATGTAATTTTCCCACTCTGCTTGAGTAGAAGGTTAAATATGTAGTAAATCATGTCTATCTCTGTAAAATGTATCTAGTGAAATTATGTTTCTCAGACATACTGTTACCAATTACCTTTTCTAAATTTGTTGTTATCCAAATGAATGCAATCAATGTAGAAGTATTTTTGCAGTACACCTTCCAACCACTGGACAGCATTTCCCTTTCTGACCCACAGCTTCTATAATATACTTAGATAATGTTTGAGGGCTTTTTGCTTCTGGGTTGTTTTTTTTTCTAAAGGTCTGTATTTATTTTTTTTTTTACATTGGCCAGTTTTCAGATTGCTTATTTTTCTTCAAGATTGTCCTGTAAATTTAAGATTGTTCTGTGATCTTAAATACTAAAGCAATGAGTGTGTAGTTCATTTGCATTTTTTCTGGGGTTGGTTTGTGGTTTTTTGCCTGTAAAGAATGGGCTAGAAAAGGCAGCTTGAATGAGGAAAAACCTCTTGCTACCTGAGCCATAGTTTTCTTAACAGCTACTGTATGGGAAATATGTCTTGTAGCCATAAGGACTGGTGCTTGCAGAACTTTTGTGAACACTTCAGTAACAGTCTGCAGAATTTGTCCTTCGATTTGGAACTGTGTCCTTTAACTTTGGAAACAGTGTATTTTATTCTTCAGTACCCTGTTGAGGTATATACAGGTGTTCATATAAAACAGTGATTGACACTCCGGAAAAAGCTGAATGCCAACAGGCTAAATGTGGCTGATTCTGTCACCACAGTGCTTTCTAAAAGGCTACTAAAAATATGAGAAATAATTCCAAGTTGTAAATTACAAGACACAGAAAAACTACTGTATTCCGCATACCTTTTTTTTTTTTTTTGTGCATATCTTCTCTAGATGCCATGCTTTCCTCTTGCTTTTGGTGCTGAGCTTCAGTATAATGGCACTACCCCTTTAAAGTCAGTTCTCCATACTGGGAGGTTTTTTGGCTTTACCAAACCAAAATGCATTTTTTTTTTTTCCCCTCAGGATAATTAAAGCTTTTCGTTCAAATAAAATCCAGTGTTCCCTTGCCCTCTTTTCCTATTTGAGCCTGTATGTGAACCACTCTTGAAGAAGTTGGAGGATAGTCAGCATTTCTACTCCACTGTCTGATATCAGGTGTAGACCTTGAAGGAGAAATAGATTTGACTTGTTAGGAGAGAAAAGATTTTAAGGCTTCTCTGATTAGGGAAATTAACCGGTATAGCTTTTATCAGAGTAGTTACTTGAGTGTAACTACTCATATGGATGTTCTTATTCCAGAAAAATAAGCAAACAACTTTATTCTGGATGCAATAGTAAAAATGATTCCCAAGTGATTCTCACTGGTTAAGAGGGGGAAGGAATAACAGCATAACTGGAGCAGAATAGTTGAGCCAATCTTTTCATTGCATAGATAATAACAGAATATCATATAAAATATCATAAATGCATACTACCTACTCCTAAGATCGTACCCTGTGAAAATGCTTGTGTCAGAACAAGTCCATCCATCTGCAGAACCATCGGTAACGTGGCGTCCTGCAGAGCAGGATGGTTACAGAGAGCCTCTGACGTTTCCTGCCACTTTTCTCCAGTGCTTCTATATTTGTTACTTTAGGTGTTGTGTTGCAGTGAGTTATTCCAAGCAATAGAGTAGCTACAATTCCTTTGTTGCTGCACAGCTTTATTTTGCAGTGCATCTACTTAGGATAGTTCCAAACTCTGGATTTGCCCTGACAAAACCAGTAGTTTACACTGAAGCATTGATCACTTGTCTCCAGCACTGTTTTGCCGTTAGATGGGAGTTGGCAGGCAGAGTTTGTGTTTGTAGCAGGAACCAAAAGTCTCAGGAATAAACTAAACATCTGCTTCCCATGACCTGTAACGTAAAGGCCAGACGAGCTTGTCATGACAGCTTGCATTAGTCATGAAAATTGTATTGCAGCGTGAAGCAGACTGTACTGTGAAAGGACATCGCTTAATGTGCGTGTTTATCCTTGAGCAACAGGACACCTCATGTTCAGTTCAGGGATCTTACTGTTTTTTATACACCTTTTTTTCTTCTTTTTAATGCTCATCCTGTATAAAGGCCCTTTAACTGCAACCTGAACAGGGGTTAGTTAGAAGGGGCTTGTAGAAATCCTCTCTATACTCCAGAATATTTGAGAATGTTTCTTTTGTGTGCATCAGAAAGATTTTGATGCTGTATGAAAACATGCATGCTGTATGTTTTGTATCTTTTTGTAGTCTCTCACTTCCTCGCTGTTAAGCCATTCTGTCTCTTCTTTCTGTATCTTCTTTTGAAAGTCTTATCTCTAAACAAAGGCATATCCATATTTGATACTGGATTTTATTGCCACTGTTGGGTCCAAACCCTGTGTGAGCAGGAAACAAACTGTTCTTGTAAACCAGTGAGTGGAAGGTGAGATAGTGATTGCATTTTTCAAAGCATTGTTTTAGCTGAATGTCAAGACAAATTATATTGGGAAGTTTCTTTTCTCACTTATAATGGCCTGGGAAACAGAATTTTTATTTGCCCTTCAATATGCTTAGCTTTAAACCAGTTTAAAATAATTTAAATGTGGGTTTTTTTAATACAAGACCATATTTACATGCAATTATTATTTGTAAACATAATGCCTTTCTTGAAATGCTAAGGTCTAGAGAGTGAAAAGGATGCTAATTATTCAAAGACTCTGTTCAGAACAGCACAAGCAGTGAATTGACTTGGAGTTCAGGAAAATAAAATGTGTTTTATTGAACTTCCAGATTTTCTAGTTTGCTTTTAATGAAGTGACAATTCTGTGTTGGTAAGGTAGATGTTACTGTGTATTCCAGCTACCCAGATCATCATTACACTAAAATTACAAGCAATAAGCTATTTAAACAAGTTTGAGCCAAAATGCTTTCCATTTGGGCACAATAGTACCTTCTCAGCTGAACTCTTATCTTCATAACAGTGATGCCTTGTGACTTGAATTGTGATTTTTTTTATTTTTATTTTTTTTAACACAATCTTTATTTAGATAGCTCTGGTTCTAGGTCACTGACCACCTCCAGTCACCTGCTGTGGACGAGTTTTTGGAAGGTTCAAGTTTTTAAAATAAGAAATTGTGAAAAAAGTTGCAAATTGAAATACAAAGACAAAATGATGAAAATGTTCACATGGAACTTATGAAAACTACATAATGATCTAGACTTTATCATTTCAAAGTGGTTTTTTTTTTCCTTTTTAGAATATGCATGCCAAATGTCTTGTCTTTTTCAATGATTTGTAATATACATTTTATGACTGGAAACTTTTTGTACCACACACTCGAATAAATGTTTTGCATTTTGTTTCCTCCTTTCATTTAACCAACACAGGCCACATGAACTGTTTGAGGTGATTCATCCCAGGGGACCCTCCTAGGTGTAGACACAGGGGACAATAAGCTATCCTCACTCCGAAGATCAGCTGAATCACGTGGTGTGCTCCAGAAGCAAATGAATACTTTCCTTTAAACTGTGGAAAGTGCTGTCCTCTCTGATAAATGGCACTGCTCTCAACAACAGCAGAGAGAACAGCTTGAGTAGCTGGAGCAGATAAACTTAATAAAATCATCATACAATCACAGACTGATTTGGGTTGGAAGGGACCTCACAGCCCATCCAGTTCCCACGGGCAGGGACACCCTCCACTAGCCCCGGTTGCCCAAAGCCCCATCCAACCTGGCCTTGACCACTGCCAGGGAGCCAGGGACAGCCACAGCTTCTCTGGGCAACCTGTGCCAGGGCCTCAGCACCCTCACGGGGAAGGATTTCTTCCTCAGATCTCATCTAAATCTCCCCTTCTTGAGCTTCAGACCATTCCCCCCCCGTCTTGTCACTCCCTGCCCTTGT